GCCGCAGGGCCAGTCCCGAGCTCCGCCGAGGCCGTTAGCGGGTGCGGGGCGCCCTCTTGTGCGCGCAGGGCCGCAGGGCCCCGGGGTTCAGGGAGGGAACGAGAGCCCCTGCAGCGCCCACCCCGGCTGCCAGGGGTCCGGCAGAGGTGCTGCCCCGGGGCGCTCAGCTTGTGACACCGGGCTGCAGGGGCTGCTTGCCGAAACCCAGAATGTTCTACAGCCCTGTGGTAAGAGCAACCCCATAAGAACCGGGGAGACCCTGCTTTAGGCTACCTCCGTCGCAAAAGACCACCTGTGGGTCCTTTGAGGGTACCCGCTGCTCTGCGCCCCTTCTACCAAAGGAGAAGAGCATCGCTCTGCTCTGCAGGGTGCTGGTAGGGCATCATCCCAAACTGGACATCTCCCTGCTGCCTTAGTAGCAGCATGTGCTGGGATGCCCCTGCCTCACTGCCAGGCACTAACCAAGGTGCCAAAGCCTCAATGGGAAGAAGCAAGGACACGGAAACTCAGGAGCAGCAACAGGCAAAGCCAGGCACCCCGCTACCACCAGCGTGACACAAGACCACCCAAAAGCCTCCAGGCACTAGGAGACAACCCTTAATTTTGGCCATTCCCCTTCCCAGACTCTTTGCAGCTTCGCTCACCATCTCCACAGGAGCAGGGTAGCAGTGGAAGTCCCAGTAGAAGGGCAGTCCCGAGAGCTCGCTCTTGACATGCAGACTGAGACCTCTGGCAGTGTGGTGGCAGGAGAAAGAGGTGATGGTGTTTGGCTCACCTGCCAGCAAGGGGCACATCAGGTTGCTCAAGCGTTGCAGGAAGGAGGACACAGAGACAGTCAGCCGCTTGTTCAGCTCCTGGGGAAAGGCAAGGTTAGGGGTACAGCAATGCCCCGAGGAGCTTGACACCAGTAAAAAAGCAGCAGAAACTCCAGCACAGAAGGAGCCAAACTACTACTGCATGTCCCAGTGCTGCAAAAAGCCATTTCTGGGCCTCCCTCTTCCATGACAGGACATTCCCCACTGGTTCTCCCAAGCCAGCTGAACTGGGAACAGGAGGGTGCGGGTGGTGGGCAGGGTGCAATGGTCTCCACTAGCACATCTGCCCCGCATGCCACCATGAGTGTCACAGTCTGGCTGAGAGCTGTCACATCAGCTAACCTGCCAGAGCTGGGGGATGGCTGCCACCTCAGGCTCACCCCTCCTGTCACCAGCCGCTCAGCACAGCCACTGCGTGACAGAGGGACATGGCAGATAGGGGTGGCACATGGGGGCCTGGGCACATGGGCTAGGGTGAGGGGATGAGGCATGACCGCTTACGTTTTGGGGGCTGTGCTGACAGGATACCCCATGGAGGCCTGTGCCTGGCTATGAATGTGAACAGGAGTCTCTCCATCACTGGTGGGAAGGAAGCCTTGTATCAAGCTCCTCCTTAGTACATAGGCCCTGGGAAAACCAGCTGCCCATCTGGCCCACAAGTGAAATGAGTGTGCCAGCCTCAGCACGCAGCCCTAGTGAACACCTGGCTGCCCTGGGCATGCTAAATAGCTTGGTCCACTCTCCCAGGAGGAGGGTGCTCGGCCAAGCAGGGTAACAGTGCTTGGGCAAAGCCTCCCAGGGACTTCCCAGGCCGGGCATTTGCACCCAAGCACTGTCAGATCCAAGAGCCATCACGTCACCAAGCTTTTTATGCTGGGCTGTCAGCTGCTGCAAGGAGGAAAGGAGATCCCTGGACTTTCCAGATACTCACCTTGGACCTCTGTTCCACAGCTTCGGTGTCTGTACTCTCGTACCAGACACTGCTGAGGTCGGAGATCAGCAGGATGTAGCCAGTGTCCCTGAAGCACGCTTTAGCAAGGAAAGTGGACTCGCCAAAGCAAACAGAAGCCCAGGGCTGTGTCAGGATGCTGCTCTCCAGCTCCTTGGAGCCCTCCATCTGCAAGAGAGTAATCAGGCCTCTCCTCAGCCCCCGCCCAGGAAGACCCTGCTCCCTGAGGTGGCCTCAGAGGGACACTCGGTCCCTGCCTGCCCCTTCACGATGTCAGCCCGGAGGTGCGGATGCTCAGCCAGCTCTGGTCACACGCATCCCTGCAGATGCATGCAGTTCTGCTGAGGCGGGTATTTGGGGGAGCTCTATGCAGGGCAGATCCCACCCCAGCTCACCATAAGCACCCCAAATGCATCAGCTGTCTCACGGCGATGTCACTGTTGTTACCCGGTGCCTGCTGCCTTTAATACGGCGAGACCCGTACATCCAAATTAACATCTAAGCTGCCTTGCTCGCAGCCTTCCTCCAGCCGGGAGACC